GCCGCTCTGGCCGGGCCTCTGCAGCGGCCGGGAGGGCCGGGGGCCGCCCGGCCGCTCTGGCCGGGCCACTGCAGCGGCTGGGAGGGCCGGGGGCCGCCCCACCGCTGTGGCCGGGCCACTGCAGCGGCTGGGAGGGCCGGGGGCCGCCCCGCCGCTCCGGCCGGGCCACTGCAGCGGCACGTGCCGGCGCCGGCGCCGTACGTGCGCTACGTGCCCGCGTTGCCGGCGTCGCGGCCTTGATCGCATCGGCTGCCGGCTGCTGTGGCGAACCGGAGCTGCGCTGGTCGGTGCAGCGGACGGTGTGGCGGCGCTCCGACGCTGAGGACCTTGGCGGGTGCATGCGTCGACGCGTAGTCTCGCAGCTCCACAGTCTACTCGCTGACTGTTTTGCGTACTGGCTGAGATGTCCACAGCGCATTTTTTGACGTGTTTTGTACTTGATTTGGTGTGGGTTGTTCCCGAGCTCAGATCGTAGAGAGCCACCATGTTTAACACGCTTGGGTTGGGGGTCAGCTTGACCCCTAAAGTATTTTCCAGAATATTTCCGAACGGTGCGGCGTAACCGCACCAAATTTTGCATAGCTGTAGGCGATCGAATAGAGGATATTTTGGTGTAGAAGTAAAATGTATCTCGATCGCTGACTTGTGGCAAGTCAAAGCCAGACCATGGCTCTCAGCGAAGGCGATTTGTAAGAAATCGTTCAATCTGATGCGGCGACGGAGTGTCAGACGAAACCTCACATATCTTGTACGGCTTCGTTGTTGCTAAGTGCATTTGCGAGAAACGTGATGCTTATACATGAGACAGTAGTAGTAGCCTTACCCCTCGTGGAGTAACCATTAGATCAAGTTTCATTGACCTAGGGTCAAGTACGAAGGTCATACCGAGGTCAAAACTAATCCGTTTTTTACTCGAAGAGTCTGCTTTATGGGGTGGTTTCTGGCGATCCTACATGATTCGTTGATGACAGGAACGGCAACAGACATGCTTCATGATTTGTTTAAAGGTCAGGGTAGGTTACTGGCTTTGAATTACCGATGTCGGCATTTTGTTTTAGGAACGTAGCGTAATCCCGGACGCGTAGTTAAATGGCAAAATGGGAGCGATCTCGTTGTTTTCCGTAGGTCAAGGTGGCCACCTTGATCTTCTAAATTTCAAACAACTTCACTGACCTTAAATGAACACCATTGCCATCGGTTCACGGTGGTGGCATGAGGAGATCTGGGGGCACTTTGGACACCAATCTGGAGTTTGACCTTGTTTAAGCTTATTTGACGCCAGGGTCAAGACCAAGGAGCCTCAAATTTGGACATAACTGAATTGACATACAGGCCAATCTTTTCTCCTTCTATCATTGTCTCTAGCTATCTTAGTATTCAAGATCTCAAAGGGCCAAGTTGACCCTTCCCCACCCGAGCGAAGGTATTCGACCGACCACCAGGGTGCGTGTTAAATAGCTTGTGTGGAGCGGCTTGACTCGCGCCCTCATATACCGCGATCGAGTGAATTATAGCCTGGGGGCAAGCGACAGTGCCGCTGGCCGGCCGGCGCGTCGCAGCCTGCGGGCCTGCGATATGTCAGCACGCGTCAGTCCGCGGTCCGATCATCGCCCGTACATGACGTGAGCGTAATTGACGCCGGCCACTCCGAGCCGGGGCGATCAGGCGCGGTCAGCCGCGCGGCTGACAGCGGCGGCCGCGCGGGACCGTCTCTGACAGCCGTGGCGGCGGCTCATGTCGGACTGGCTGCGGCCGGCCCGGGCCTCGCTCGGCGGCTGTCGCCGGGCTGGTCCTCTTGAGCAGGAGTGTCGCCAGGCTTGCCTGTGCGTGGAGTCTTCCTCATGGTAGTCCGGCAAGGTCTGGGCCGCGTCGTCGTTGACGGCCGACCTCTCGCCGGGCCGTCTGTGGCCGGAATGTCTCGTGCCTGTCCGTGGCGTGAGCGAGGCTCGGCCGGCTCCTGTCCAGGCTGCCCTGCGCCACACCCGGCGGTGCCCCGGCACGGACTGTCACGGGGGTGTCTCCCGGCTGACTAGTCTTTCACCAGGCCATCCCGGGGCGAGCTGTCTGACCAGACCGTCCGGGCTGACTAGTCTTGCACCAGGCTATCTCCGGGCCGCCCGTATGTTGGCCCGCCGTACCGACGTCGCTCGGCCCGGCCGACATACCGCTGTCGGCGGGCGGCCACCGTCGGGCCGGCTGTGGCGGCCGTGGCCCGGCCGACACGCCGCTGTCGGCAGGCGGCCACTGTCGGGCCGGCTGCGGCGGTCGTGGCGCAGCCGACGCGCCGCTGTCGGCGAGCGGCCAATGCCTGCGGCGGTCGTGGCCCGGCCGACACGCCGCTGTCGGTGGGCGGCCACTGCCGGGCCGGCTGTGGCGGCCGTGGCGCGGCCGATCACACCACCATCCGCGTGCGTCGCCTCGCCGTTAGGTGCGGGCGGCGCGCGCGGCACGGTTTACCGGTGCCCGCGCCAGCTGGTGGCCCGCCGGCTGTCTATTCGGGGCACCGGCGGCGCGTCGAGCCGCGTGGCGCGCCCTGACCTTGTTTAGTCATGGTGCGGAGGACGTCCGGCGGTCCGGCGCGGTGGCCGCTGACGCCGGTGACAGCCGGTGGCGGTTTCTCTCCCGGTGGCGAGCGGAAGGAATGCGGTCGCCGCTGTGGACGGGGATGGGTTATTCTCGGCAGCGCCAGATGTCGCGCACGAGCTGGCCTTGACCGGTGGGCGACAGAGACGGGACACGCGACGCGGGATCTGGGAGTCGCGGTTGCCGCGGCGCGGCTCACCCGGCCGTGTCACGGGCGCTCGGCGGGGCGCGGCCGTCACGTCCGGTGAACCAGTCTCCGTGGAGCCGGCCCCGCGCCGCTGCAGCGCCGGCTGCACTTCTCAAGTGGGCGCTGTAACCCGATTGGGTGAGCAGCTGGCGGGTGGCGCCGCGGCCGGCCGGCCGTCAGCGGGTCTCTGTGTCACCGGTGCCGCGCGACGGGGCGACGTCACCGCCCCGAACCAGTCCTCGCCGCCGCTGAAGGCTCGCTGCCATCAGATTAGCCGGGGCCGGGCGAGGCCGCCGCCGCCGTTGCAGGCGTGCCACTCACGTCGCGCCGCGTGTCCAGCTGCCGGCGACAGTTCAGGCAGGTCGTAATGGGAAGACTGCGGGTTCGCGGAAACGTGGACTACGCCCGGACCACGCGCCCTGCCGCCGGCTGTCAAAGCAGGAAGCGCGGTTTCAAGTGTTGCAAAGCTGCACATGTCGCAGCTCTGCGACACTCCGAAGCCGTGGCGCCGTGTTGTCGCAGGGGCACACCGGCTGCCCAGAGCGCCGCCAGACCTTGACGGGCCTCCTGTCAATGGTCATCGGATGGCCGACCGAGCCGTGCCGTAGAAAATTGAGTCCGTTTCCGAGCCTTATGGCCTTGATTGGGGTTGGTGGGGTTGGGGGGCGGGGGGAGGGGCGAGATCCGGGCCCACTGGCCGTGGTCCGATCGACAGATGCTCCGATTGGCTCGCGCCCGCCAGGGGCGGATGCAGGGACCGACGCTGGCAGACACCTCCGCCCATGTGCACTCTACTGTCAAGTGCAGTGTGTAGCGTAAGTGCGCAAGTATAGCTCCAAAAAGGGAGCAGTGGTTCAAGTGCAGCATTGCACATGTAGCGCCGTTTGGATCAGAGCTGAACCTTGCGACAGACCTATCGCTCAGTGGAGCAACTCTCACCTGGCAGCGTTGGGCGCAATACAGCTGATAGCGTTATTTGCGCGAGGCTCATATCCACATCGCTGTTCATAGGCCTTTTTTTGACACATGCGATCATTATTGCGGGGCCGCTGCGGCGCACAAAGGCCTGCATCCAGCACACCGCACCAAGGGCGACGCCCGCCGCGTTATGCTGCATTGGATCAGCATGCTGTGGCAGGCGGGAGATGCCATTCTCTGCATCCCCGGATGTATCAAAGATGAGACGACGGGGCTTCTCGGTGGAATCGGCGTCTCGGCACGCGTCCGCTTTCTTCGTGAGAGACCTTCGATATGGAACGGGGTGCGTCGTTATGATCGGTTCGGATTCATTGGGCTGCTTTGAATACATGACCGATTATAATGCCGTGTTGCGATACGGCCTGCCCGATCTCAGTTCTGCGCCGCGTTTCGTGCACGTCGGCTCTTTGTTGGCCGACCTCAGCGCAGCGCAGCGGTGGAGCCACCAGAGATCCACTGTGCCTCGCGGCGCGTTCACCCGTGCCCGGCGTTTACCAGTGAGCTGTCGTTTGGGGCGGTGACCTCGGCTGAATGCAGGGCGCAGCTACCATCCCGGCCGTGAGTCAGGGCGCCGGCCTGAGGCTGTCCTCCGTTCGCCGCGCCCGGTGGTGGCCGTGCTGCCGTCGGCCTGACCGCTCAGCGAGAGCTGCCGCGTGGCCGCGGGCCGGGCCGGAGCTCACTCCGGGCCGGCTCTGGTGCGCCGCGCCCGCGGCGACACGGCGCCGGCGCCGGCAGCGGGCCCTGTTTCGGCCGCGCAAGAGCCGCGGGCGACGGAGCGGCGCCAGTCTCGCTGTCCGGCGCCGTCGGCCGGCCCCGCCCGGCCATCACAGCCGGCCGTGCAGCGCCGGCGGCCGCCGCGCGCCGCCGTGCAGCCGCGCTGCAGCCGGCGCGCATCGCGGCAGTAATCGTCGCGCGACCTTGGCGCCGCGGCCCGCGCCTCGGAGCAGGGCGCCGGCGCGGGCGCGAGGGTCAGCCGACGCAAACACAGCCGGCGACGGCCCGCGCCGCCCGCGGCCGCCAAGCCCGCGTCGCGCCGCCGCCCGCCGCGCCGCCGCCGCCGACCGGTGGCGCCACGCGCTCGCAGCGGCGGCCGTCGCGCGCTGCGGCCGCTGCGTACGCGGCGCGGCCGGCGGCGGCGGCCCGCGGCGCATTCCAGCCGGCCGGCGCGGCGGCCGCCGCCAGGTAACGCTGGGGCCGGGCCCGGCCGTCCGCGGCTCGGCCGCCAGTTTGAACACAACGGCAGCGGGGGCAGGTGAGCGCCGCCCGGCCGGCAGCGGAGCGGGCCGCGCGCGCGCTGGTGCTGACGCTGTGAGCGGGGGCGCAATGCGTGCCGCGGTGCAGTAGCGGGGCTGTGCAGGACGGAGGGGCGCGCGCTGTGTCGGTGCTGCGGAGCCGCCGGTCGAGCGTCGCCGTGCTGCGGTAGAGCAGCGAGTGGGAAAGAGAGAGAGAGAGGGAGGGGAGAGCGCACGCACGGGCGGCGCGCCCCAGTGCGTGAGCGGCGCGGCGCGCCGCTGCCATGGCCGTCCAGGTGAACAGTGTGTACTACACGTCACCGCGGACGCGACCCGAGCGGGCCAGCAGCGTCGACCAGCTGGACTTCCAGCAGCGGCGCCAGATGATTGCGTCCTCGCTCTCGTTCAGCGACCTGATCTCGGGTCACAAGGTCGTCGCCGCCGTGTCGCAGAGCAAGCCGGCGGACGGCGCCAAACGCGAAGGTGGGTGGGGTGCTGTGGCGGCTGAGGTGCGATTGCTGACGGCAGGATCAGCTACCGCCGCTCGGGCTCGCCGTGTTCTCCCGCCCCCCCCCCCCCCCCTGATGTGTTGTGATGTGTTGTGTGGGAGGCTTCGGACGGGATGGGATGGGATGGGACACGGGACGGGAAGGGATGGGACGGGACGCGTTGGCCGCCCGCTCGCAGTCGCCGGCCGCTCCCGCCCGGCGCCGTGCGATCAGTCCCACGATGCGGTCGTTCCGGCGGCGCAGACCGCCAGCCGCTGATGACAGACCTACCCCAACCGGCGGCGCGGCGGTCGGGGAGCATCTGCGGCTGTCGTGGAGTGGTGGGCCGCTCACTCAGGCCTGGAACGGGCCAGGTTAGACAGCGGTCGTCGCCAGTGACGCGAGCCGGTTTCCCGAACGGGCGCTCCGGCCGGTGGTGTCCGGTGGTGCCGGTGGTGTCCGCCCAGGTGGCGCCGGTGGTGTCCGGTGGTGCCGGTGGTGTCCGCTCAGGCCGTTATGGATCGGCAGCGCCGGTTCCGATCATCTGCCGGCAGTGGGCGGCGATGGTGCGTGTCCGACCGTCGGCTAGACGACCGCACCGGTACCGGGGACACGGACTGTCGGATTGAGGCGCTGTTGTCGCGGACACCGGTGCTCGCCACACTGGAGGTAGCGGTGGCCGCACCAACACCGCTGCGACGCGCTCGCACACCGATGCCGATCGAACGGAGGCGTGAGCTGTTTGTACGGACACCGGTGCTGGCTGCTTGGAACTGCTTGGAGCTGCTTGCCTGTCACTCTCTGAGGCGCTTATGCTTATTAAACGGACACGGATATACGGTTTGTATCTCCCAAATCGACGGAGCTTGCCCGCCCCCTGAGCTCCAGTTTGGCGCCCCACGAGGATTGACTCGAACTACCCTGACGTCAAGATCCAGCTAACGCTATTGCCGGTACCGGCCCTTGATGACGTCCTGCGCGGCGATCTCAGACCCCGAGCTCTGCGAATCCCCGCGGTCGAAACGGAAGGGCAAATGGATGGCACGGTTATTTGACCGCGGCTGCGGAAGCGATGTGTCACGGTGCTAGTGCTTGATTTCGTTTGATCCTGGAGCCTACGGCGGGCCACGCCCGTGCGCTGTGCGCGGCCCGGCGCCGCGTCAAAAATAGGTCCGGCGCCGGCGTGGCGGGTGATTGCAGCGCCTTTGTACTGCTCTTCGGTGACTTTGTGGGTTCCGCATGGTCAGACCCGTAGGCGTACTTGGTATTCAGTCGGAGACGGAGCCTTCGTCCGAGGCTACCAACTTCGCGGCAAGTCCCGGCTGAGCGTGCAAAGTGGACGGGATCCGAGGGCGGCGAAGCGAGCCGGACGCGTTTTGGTCACTGGCTCGCGTACGCCGTCAATTTTTACCTGAAAGGATCGTTTCTGACTACGGATGCCCATCCCCGGAGTCTCCTTCGCCCTTGGATTCACATGCACCCGCCCGGTGCCGGCCGTGCCTCTGATCGGCCCGCTCCCGCACACGACGGCCCTGCCAGCCGGCTGGCCCGCTCCCACCTCACATCCGCTCCCACCTCCCGCTTCTCACGGCGGACTCGGCTGGCTCACAGCCCGCTGCCCCCCCCCCCCTCCCCCCGCCGTCTGGCGTCCCCAGCCGCTGTCGGCCGCTGGCCTTGCCTGCCTGGTGTCGGCGGTGTTTCCGCCCCGGCTGGCTGGCAGCTCTCCTTGGGTACGGGTCCTCCGTCATACGTGACTGGCGGCGCGACCCCGGACTCGGCTCAGTTTCGTACGCTCGACGTCCGCGCCGAGCCGGTCAGGACAAGCGCTATGCCAAGCACACGCCGCGGACGAAGTTTGAACCACCAGCGCCGGCGAAGCATGCGCAGACTGCATTTGGCGGCAGCCTAGAATGTTGGTATTCCGCGGTGGATGTTGTCGTTGAGTGCTTTAATGCGTGGGGCTTCTCAGCACCAGGCTTAGCGAGCGGAGCGCCGGCTATTACGGCGAAGTTTGCTGGGGCTCTCACGGATTGTGCGTTAGGTGTCGAAGAGCGCCGATGCGTACGTCACAACCACGGCACCTATTCGCGCGGCGGCGAGCGGAAAAAGGGTCGAAGTTGAGTGCTCTGTCGTTGGCCAGTGCAGCTCTTTCCTGGCCGCGTTTATAGGCTCTCTGTACATCCGGACACGGAAATGAAATGCCATTCGTCACGCCGTGCTCGGGGCGCAAGGGCGTGTATCGGTGCCGGGGCGTTCCGGCCCTCCGGCTGCTGTGGCCGTCCGGTTACTGAAACCACTGGGAAGTCGCTGCGGCTGAGCAGTTCGTCCAGAAAAACTGGAGTGTTCCGAAACAGAGACAATGGACCATTCGGACGCGTTTGATGGCCACGGGGAGTGCGGCCGGTCTCGCGCAGGTGCCTCTCGTGACCCGTTTATGAGTGCCGGTGCTCGCCGCGCCAGCTTGCGGCGAGGGAAGAAGCGAGGGCGTGGCCGCGTGGGCACCGGCGAGAGAGACCGCGTCCCCGGGAATGGAATGTTGAACGCGAAATCTCCAGCGCCGGCCACGACGCGTCCGGTGTCGCAGTTATGCGATATGCACCGTTCACCCGGATACCGGCTGCAGCTCTCCACGACGACCCTGAATGCAGCCTCCCCGCGCGTGGCAATGCTTCTCGGGGTGGGGACAGACTGAGCCTCGAGCTGGCAATGGCGGCGCAGCCGGCGATGGCAGCCGAGCAGGACCGCCCGCCCCGCAGGGGGTGCTCCGCAGCAGATCAGGAACGGCCTGAGACGCGTGAAGTGTGCACGGAGGGCATCCGGGTCTTCCTGGTCGGGCCACTGGTTCTAGACGAACTGGCCGACAGCCGCCCACCGTTTTTTGCCCTGCTCTTCGCGGCCCCGTCCGTCCTTCCGCGCACCGTCCGTGTTCCGGGGCGGCGGCGCGGCTCGGCTTTGGTTGCGCGCTCGGTCGGCTGTTTTACGGCCGTCCTTCAGGCTCGTCTGTGGGCTGGCCTCGTGAAGCCGGCCAGGACTGCCTCTCATGGTCTGATGGCGGGGTATTCGGCCGGTTACTGCCCCATTCTCTCACCGGGGGACCTGCCGGCCGCTGGGCCCGGTATGCAGCGTTGGCATGCGTCCCGGAGTCAAACGGCAATGTAAATGCATTGCGCGATGCCGAAAAACGAGTCGTCCGACTGCATTTGTGCAGTGTGCATACATGCGCGCGATTCAAACCGCACGGCCGTCGCCGTCGAGTACGGTTATATGCAAATCGTCCCCGGATCTGGCAGGCGAAGCTCCGAAGCGGCGCAGTACAGGCTGGCTGTCTGCTGAGATGGCCATCGACGGCCGAGGCGCCGACCTGGCCGCGGCGGCCGCCCTCAGCGGGCCGGCGCGACAGCGCGGCGCGCCCGGCGTCTCGTGACCCGATGGCGGGTCGTCTGGGGTGATGTCGTGACGTCCGTCGTATGTGGTGGAGACTGCGGGGATGTCGGAACATCTGCCGTGGTTTCAAGACGTCTGCAGTGGTATCGGGACATCTGCCGTGATTTGGGTTGATTTGCGGTGATGTCGAAATGTCTGCGAGGATGTCGGAGCGTCTGTGGTGATGTCGGGACACCTGTCGGGCTGCGGGATGCTGTGACGTCACCGTTCACCAGCAGCGTCGCGGCGCTATCAGCAGTCTCGTTCGCAACATCGCGGCTTTCATTCGGAACGTCACCGAATCTGGGGCGTCACGCAGCCGGCTGTGACGCGGGCGTGACGTGAGCCCCGGCCACGTGTGGGCGCGGCCCGACTCGTGACTCACGGTGGCAGGGCGGCCGGCTGGCCAGCGCAGATGCGCGGCCTGGGCCGCCGCCCCCGCGCGGCTCGCTCGACGGCCGCCTGGCCGGCGCCGGCCACACGGTCGGCCCCGGACGCTCGGGCTAATTGCTCGGCATTAGCGGCGAACGAGCGCGACGGAAACCCCGACTTCTGTCGCGCCGCCGCGCGCTGGCTCAGAGATTGCGTCGCTCTCGCGTCCCGCCCCGAGCTCTTTCTCCCCGCGCTCTGGTTGGTTGGCTCTACCGCCACGCCACAGACGTCACGCACAACTGAGGGTTGTATTTCGGATAGGGATCCAAGTGAAACGTTTCTGACACTAGCCTGCCGTCTGACCTGACCTCGTTTAGTTTGACCTTGTCTAGCGTGACCTTGGTTAGCCCGGCCTTGTTTAGTTTGACCTTGTCTAGCCTGATCTTGCATAGCCTGACCGTGTCTAATCCGACCTTGTTTAACCTGATCGTGTTTAGCCTGACCTTGTCTCGTCTAACCTTGTCCAGTCTGACCTTGTCTACTCTGACCTTGCCTCCTCTGACCTTGTTTAACCTGACCGTGTCCACCCTGACCTTGTCTAATCTGACCTTGTCACGAGCATGTGGCTGAGCCTCAGGGCCCCACTCCATACCCATAAGCGCGGACCACTCTCACTGCCCTGCCCTGGGCTTCCCGGCGGAAAGGCGATCCGGCCGGGAAATAAATAGGCCGGCAGTTCGGCCCGGTGTCTGGTGTGTCAGCTATTGCCAACCAGCCCAAGTGGAATGCGAACTGGTCACGCGGCGGGCCTGGACGGGCCGGTGCTGCCGGTGCTGCCGGCTGACCGGGCGCGTATTGGCTGCCTCTTGGTGGGTGCGGTAGTCAACGCCCTTATAAAGCACGCGGCTGGCTGATTGTGATCCGGGTGTTTGCCCTCTTGTTTGTGTTCAAGCGTTTAATGGTTCAAGGATGCCTTACCGTTCCCGCTACCGCCATGCCTCGCAGATCTCCAGCGAATTTTCTGAGCAAATACGAGCTGTTCCGTCAGCTTTGGCTGCCGCTTGTAGGTTTTCGTGCTGCTCAGAACCTTTTCTACATGCATACTTAACGTCGTGAAAATTTGTCCGGCTTCTAACCGGGGATCGGTGCATATGGGTGTGTCTGAATTTGGTTTGGGTACGCTTTTTTATTTATGCCAAC